ATAGAAATGTCATTTTCAAATTTACAAAGGTTTTGATTTTATATGATATAAAATAGATATATCTATTTTAAAAAGTAATACAAAGTCGATTACTTGCATCTCTTGAAATTTATTATTAAATAAAAAATATATTTTATACATAACTAATTAATGTGAGAATGTATTTACTTGAAACAATGCGACATCGTTGTCGTGAGCAACACCCAAATTATAATTCGGATGAGGAATAACCCTTTTCACTTTCAATTTTTGACCAAGATAAGTATGAGAGAGTCTCCTAGTAATGCCGAGTTGTATTGTCCAACCCGATATCTCTGAATGACTGAAAGTCAAGAGAAGCAATTCATATATTTGATATTCTCCATTAATATGATTAATGCATAGTTTGCCTTATTTAAAAAATATTTCAAGCGACATTTTACATATAAATATTGTCATACGTGTATAATAAATTAAAAGTAGAATTTTACAATATTTCACTTACTTCCCAACACAATGAGATGCAGTTAGTACCCATTGATCGGCAATAAGAACTCCAGCACAATAGAAGATCTGTTCTGGACCACCAAGAAGGGCTGCAAGAAACGGCCAATCACCAGGGGCTGATTCCACACCACCCACTATTCGCTTCACTCTCAAGTTTCCGTATGTGGAACGTCTGCGGCCGCAAGCTGCAGCAGAATCGATCATCATACATTGCAAAGAAACCCGAGAAAACTTGAAAAATCTTAATTCTAAAATTTCTTGTACAGCTTTCTTTATGTTTTCCAATAATTTACCATATATGGAACAAGTAAGCTTGACCATTGGATAAGGCTCCCGATCTTTGATGCATTTTTGAAAGTGCTTCAGCAAATTAGTACTTTTATTATGGTAGGTGAAATTTTTTGACATCTGCATCGAATCACTGATTATTAACTTAGATCCATCTACAATTCTGAAAATGTAATCAGATTTTTATCATATTAATAATTTTCGTACGTTGCTTTTTTATATTTCAAAAAGAAAATATTTGTATTTATATATTCAAGAAGAAAATAATTGTTGATGTTGTAAAATGTAAAAAATGAATAAGTCAAAATCAATGTACTTAAATATTTCCTAATGCATCTCTTTCAAAATATAAATTTGTACGAATGAAATTTTATAAAACTATCACAATGCATTAAAAAAATATCTATAGCATATTTTGATTATTTTATATATATAATATTTATGTTTTATACTAGATGACTAGATTAAGAGAGAAAGCTTACTTATATCCCAGCATAGTGCAAACCTCTTGAGATAATGTTGAATCCCAATGCGAAACACATGCCGGCATAAATTTACCCATTTCAGCATGGTACACTTCTAGACGACCCTCGCCGACATCCCCATTTCTTTGGCTCAATTTCACTAAAGATTAAGAAAAGATTCAGAATTTAAAATTTAAGAGCCGTCTAAGATATTAATTAAAAATCAAAAATGTATGTTTCTTTTTAAACCAGAAGTATACAATGTTATCAACTGAATATATGAGCACAAACATTTTGCACTTGAGAAAACCATAAAAGATAAAATAAAAAGAATTGGGTTCATTTTATCCAAAGTACTGTGATTTTTTATGTAAAAAATAAAGTCGCAATTTTCAATTGATTAAAATATAATCAATGAAATATATGAAATATATGAATTCTCTTACGACAATATCGCTCGTCCTGCCCCCAAGGACAATCCATGATTCCGTCACAGATGTGACTGGCCGACATGCATCTCCTTTCGCCGCAGTGTAATGAAGCTTTTGTAGAGAAAGTACTTTTAGTCGACGGTCCCTTCATTATATTGCCGAATGTGGAAGACACCGATGTCGAGATCGAAGAGGTCGTACTGGAATTGCATTTCCCACATCCGATCTCATCGCTGTGATCGGAGCAATCGAGATGACCGTCGCATCGCCAATCAAACGGAATGCACCTTGTACTATCGCATTGAAAGCCGCTGGTGCACACTGTATAAACGAATCAAAGCAGATTATGAAAACCATGTGCTTTCTAATATAATCGATGTATTAGTTTAACAATTTACAACATGCTATAAAAAGAAAAAAACATAAAATTATCAAATAAAAGTAAATATGATACGACTTATAACGGAAATGTATGCACTTATTGTTTGTATAATCTGATATACTCTTTTCAGTTTATATATTCTTAATTATTAAATTAATTACGTGCTTTTATAAATTAATTTATAATAATATTATTAAATATTAATGAGATGATTCTCGATATTAGATATGATGTAGTAAAGGAGCAAATGAGAATCAGCTCTGTTTACGGTGCGCAATTTATATTCTTTATTACAATTTAAAAATATATAACATGCGTTTCGACTCTAGTTTGAGTCATCCTCAGTGTATATAAAAAATAAAGATAAGATACCGTGCTCATCCGACGTGCTCCTTACGTTATTTCGTTAACTCAAATTATTATGATCGCATCGAGCAGCACATCAACAATGCGTCCGCACGCCTTGAGCTCCAGGTAGTGACTGAACGCGGTGACTCTACAAGTCAACAACTTGTTATCAAAGCCAAGGTTACAGCCTGCTCAAGACAGAAACGTATGCATGATGCAAGAATTCAGTATCAGACTGTGAATTCAAACAATTATTCTGTCTCTTAATAAAAAGCATGTTTGAGATCAGCCGTTTCAGCCGCAAATTACGTTCACAGTCTAATACTTTCGCATCATTCTAGTCAAATTCATGATCGTAATCCAATCTGTTCGATAATGATTGAATGTGTGTTCCTACATATATAACTCTGGTGTTCATGCAGTCTCGTGTTTAATTGTCTCATTGTTTCCGACATAGCACGCATCACAGCTGCCGCAGCAGATCTTGTACACTACATTCCTTTTGGAATGTGGTAGAGCGTCCTTATGAACCTTGATTATGCCTTATTCATATTGAAATACGCGGGTTTGCATTAAAATCATAGACAATTTTTTTGAGTTTAGTCGCAATTTCCGGAATAAAGGGTAAAGTAAACCATTTTGTTCTTTGTGATTGCACTGTTGCATTTGACATTCTTGATCTATCTTCTCACTTGAATACAGTTTTTAGTCTCGAATGGATATTATCAAAGATACAGTTGAGAGTAATCCTTTATTAACAAAGTCGTTACTAAATTCAAGTTTTTTTAGTGGAATTTCGGATGAGACAATAAGAACGCTCTGTCGACGAGTCCAGCAATAGTGCTCTTTTTTGGGCGAGAGAATGCTGGGAATGAAAATTGAGGTACCTTCTTGAGAATGTGAATTTATGAAACCAATCAATTTCGACGTTCTTATTAACAACTTTTAAGGTCAAATCGAGAAAATTCAACTCGCTACCCCCCTCTACTTCAGCATTAAATTGTAACTAGGGTGGTACGAGTTGAACCTTCCAAGAATCTCATCAATTAATCGAAAAGGAATGGCCATTGCAATGTCAACATATCTATAAAAAAAAATGGTAAATGTGCTCTAACATCCTCAAGCACGCTCTTCTCCAAATCTCTTAATACTAAAGTCATCAGTTATGATCAGAGACAATGGGAAACTCATGGGTATTCCAAAGGTTTGTTTATAGATTACATTGTCAATCGTAAAAAAGATAGAATTTAGGACAAACGAAACTGCACCTAAAAATTCATCCTTAGGGATGTCGCAGTTCTTCGAGATGTCTCCCCAACGCTTAGCAATACTGTCAATTGATAGGTCAATAGGAACATTGGTGAACAAAGAGACCACATCGAAAGAAACAAGTGTGTGGTCATCAGTCAACTGTATGCCAAACAACTCGTTAGCAAGTTTAAAACTATTTTCTACATGTGTTGAAGGCTTTAGGATTCTTCTTCTTGACAAGAATTTATTCAAGAAGAATGCTAGGTTGTGAAGAGGACTATCAATTGACGAGATAATTATTCGGAGGGGGCATCTCCATTTATGTATTTTAGAGAGCTCGTAAGCCCTGTGGAGAATCCCGTTGGTATAGTAGAGGTGCTTGTACAGAATGTCAGATATATAATTAGAGTTCGTCAGGTTTTGAAAATATTTCGCAACTTGCCAGTAATAGTCTTCGTAGGATTTTTCGTGATCACGCTATAAGTCTCAGTATCGTGTAACATATCTGTCTTGTTTTTTAATTAACCATTCAATTTTGTGGTACAATTTATCAATTAATTGTGTATGAAAGTGGATAAAGGAACTTATTCTGCGTGATAAAAAAATTATGGCATATGTTTCTGGGAATGTGTTGCGAAATCTTCATCTCTAACCGGAAAATTTCAGTTTGTGACTGTTTTATGGTTAGGTAAGCATCTTTTAATGCATCTTCGGTCTTGAGCTAATGATGAGCTTGTCTTTCATTTGTTTAAACCGGGCTTTGCTCGCATGATGATTAAAAATTAAGTTAAAGTTTCGAAAAGGAAACTAAATATGGCGGTGTGATATAAAATTCCAAACACTTCTTATAAACTCTAATAAACTTTATGCGTGCGCTGCTCGTGATAACGCTCTTACGGTGCTTTATCCAATTCTTTAACAAATCAACAATAATTGAGGTACCTTCTCGAGAATGTGGGTTTATGAAACCAATCAATCTCGATGTTCTTATTAACAACTTTTAAGGTCAAATCGAGAAAATTCAACTCGCTCCCCCCACCTCAGCAGTAAATTGTAATCTAGGGTGGTACGAGTTGAACTTTCCAAGAATCTCTCCAGAAATAAGGGCCGAACGTTACAAGAATAAATTAAAAAAATGTGAACTAACGCATTTTTTCAGCCTGCGTAATTAAATATTAATAAGGTGATTCTCTCGAAGAACTGCGAGATCCCTAAGGATGAATTTTTAGGTGCAGTCTCGTTTGTCCTAAATTTTATCTTTTTTACATTTGACAATGTAATCTATAAGCAAATCTTTGGAACACCCATGGGTTCTCCATTGTCTCTGATCATAACTGATTTAATATTAAGAGATTTGGAAGAGAGCATGCTTGAGGATATTAGCACATTTATCATTTTTTTTATAGATATATTGATGACATTACAATGGCCATTCCTTCCAGATTAATTGATGAGATTCTTGGAAAGTTCAACTCGTACCACCCTAGATTACAATTTACTGCTGAGGGGGGAGCGAGTTGAATTTTCTCGATTTGACCTTAAAAGTTGTTAATAAGAACATCGAGATTGATTGGTTTCATAAACCCACATTCTCGAGAAGGTACCTCAATTTTCACTCCCAGCATTCTCTCGCCCAAAAAAGAGGCACTATTGCTGGACTCGTCGACAGAGCGTTTTTATTGTCTCACCCGAAATACCACCAAAAAACTTGAATTTAGTAATTACGACTTTGTTAATGAACGACCTCTCAACTTTATCTTTGATAATATCCACTCGAGACTAAAAACTTTATTCAGGTGAAAAGATAGATCAAGAATGTCAAATGCAACAGTGCAATCACAAGGAACAAAATGGTTCACTTTACCCTTTGGAAATTGCAATTAAACTCAAAAAAATTGTCGATGATTTTAACGCAAAACCCGCGTATTTCAGTATGAATAAGTTGAGAGGTATCAGGATTCATAAGGACGCTCTACCAACACATTCCAAAAGGAATGTAGTGTACAAGATCTGCTGCGGCAGCTGTGATACGTGCTATGTCGGACAAACAATGAGACAATTAAAAACGAGACTGCAGAACACCAGAGTCATATACGTAGGAACACGAACACACATTCAGTCATTACCGAACATAGATTGGATTGCGATCATGAATTTGATTGGTGTGAAAGTATTAGACTGTGTAATTTGCAGAAACGGCTGATCTCAGAGATGCTTTTTATTAAGAAACAGAATAATTATTTGAATTCACAGTCTGATACTGAATTCTTGCATCACGCATACGTTTCTATCTTGAGCAGACTGTAATCTCGGCTTTGTTTTGATGACAAGTTGTTGACTTGTAAAGTCACCGCGTTCAGTCACTGCCTGGAGCTCAAGGCATGCGGACGTATTGTTGGTGTGCTACTCGATGCGATCATAATAATTCGAGTTAACGAAATAACGTAGGGAGCACGTCGGATGAGCACGGTATCTTATCTTTATTTTTTGTATATACTGAGGATAACTCAAACTGAGGAAGAATCGAAATGTATGTTATATATTTTTAAATTATAATAAAGAAAATGTAAATTGCGCACCGTAAACAGCGCTGATTGTCATTTGCCCCTTTACTACATCAAAAATAATATTTATTCTTAATTAATTAATTTCAATTCTCAATAAAATTCTCAGTATCGTATCACTTAAAAAAGTTATTGAGAAAAATTTTAATTTTTAATGGATTGATTATTTACTTTAAAATGAATAAATAAAAATCGCAACATTGGATAAGTTATTAACAATTCAACATTTCCGAATCAACAGACCACGCCGAAAATTATGGAAATGTAAATATATTCCGTAGAGATGTTAACGTTATCGACATTCTCTGTCGAAACATCCTATCTTTCGCAATATGTCTTCTCCTGCGATGGACACAATCAATTCTTGCGCTTGCGGTTCGATACTTTCACACATATGCGTCAAGTGCGATATGTACACATGCATCAGGCGCGACTCAATAAAGCTGCTTGGCGCCACAGATGGGCCGTCATACGACAGTTTAATATGGATTTTGCAATTAAGATTCCATCAGCGGTGACACATGCGATAGCTCGGGTACACAAAATCGCGATATAGCTCGCATGTGCGAACACGTATGCGTACATACAGGGTGTCGCCGAACCTCTTTTGTAATTACGGCATACACAGATGCTGCCTTCGGTGGCTCGCTTATTATACATCATAATGTACAGAATGGATGTACAGAAATGCTTTGAAGTTTTCCTTCTATTTATCGAAGGAATATCGATACCTTCGGGCTACCTTGATTTCAAGAGTTTATACTTGCTCACGAGTTTATATTTCCGCCCGAATAATATTATTAATAAAATTATCAAATAAATAAAGTTAACATCGGATAGTTAACAAAGTTACTTCCGGAGAGAGGTAATGAAATGAGAGGTTGATGAAATTGATAAATTAAAACGAAAGTTATTGCCATCGATGAGCAAAATAAAGCTTCGAAAAAAAGAAAGAAAGAAAATCAAAAAACAACCATCGAAATTTTGAAAATCTGTTGAATTCGCCGATTGAGTAGACTTTGTAATTACAATGCAATTCAATCTTAATTAACACACGCGGATGAAACTTTCTCTCTCTCTCTC